TGATCTTCCAAGTTAATTATCTGATGAAGAATTAAGGTTAATTTTACATGAGATTTTTGATTTTGGTGAACCTCTGCTGGGTCTTTGTGATTAGCATTTCTTCTAGGTTCCGATAAATAATGATTTAATAATACTTTCTGAAATATTGATCAAGGTTAACCTTAAGGTTACTAAATCCTTTTTATGCAGAGTTATGAAAATTCTAGAGACCACTGAATTATCATTAAAACACAGAATAAGTGTTACCTTATGTTTAATAAGAATTCACTCCACAGGATCTATAGGAATACATGAGTTAGAGACAGTAAAAATTTTCACATTGCACTGATATTCTGAAATTCATTGTTTAAAGGAGTATTTCCATGGATGCATATTGAATATTAGCAAGAAGTTGACATCATTCTAGAGCTCATTTGACAGATAGCAATTTTATGTATGCCAGTATCAGCTTTTCTTTAAGTCAGGGAAAATTAAATCTCTGATTCTGTATGTTGTAGAGAAAGGTTTTTAGATGAATAGAAAATAGGGAAGTATATAAGTGTAATAATAAATAACTCCCAAGCAAGACTAAGAACTTGAAAATAAGCAAATGGAATTGCTATTTTGAGAGTCAAGCCTTAAAACACACATTACATATTAGAAAAAAAAACAAGATATACAAATTCAATGATTTGTGTATTTGTGCCAGAATTCCTCTTTTAAGGATCCTGCTCACAATTAGTAATGCAAGAATCTTTTTATTATTGCTAAAAAAATGAGTACCCTAGGATAGCATTATTGCTGACATCATTCTCCTAGCTAAAAATGTAATGATAATATAATTGTGAATCATTCCAGTTTTGTATACATCTACATACAGAAACATTAATTTCTATCAAGTTACATTAGTTACATGGATAAGAGGTAAAACTAGATAATCTTTATATAATATTTAAGGAGTCCTTTCTAATTCCTTTTTTATTTTTTTTAGAAAGAGTCTCACTCTGTTGTCCAGGCTAGAGTGCAGTGGTGTCATTATAGCTCTTCAACCTCAAACTCCTGGGCTCAAGTGATCCTCCTGCCTCAGCCTCCTGAGTAGCTGGCACTATGGGTATGTACCACCATTCTTTCAGCAAATATTTATTGAGCATTTAATCTATGCCAGATGCTACTGTGCAAACACAATTATTAAACACTCAGAGGCTTGCGCTTTTGTAGCTTTCAATGCTTCTTAGTAAGGTAAATGTTTATTGGATATGGCAGAACAGTGCTTACTACAAAGAAAGAAATCAATTAATGCTTATTGGATGATCAGATTAAAGTATCCTTACAAGCTACTTATATTTTCATGTGTAATTTTTCCATTGAGACCATGATTTGATCTTTACCTTATCAAGTGATACGTACAAAATATGTAATAATGATAAGCATATTTACCATGTATTGATTACTTGTAGTATGTCAGGTACTGTGCTAGACAACTTAGCTACATTTTATTATTTAATCTTCACAACACTCCTGTTAGGTTGGAAACTGCTAGTGTTTTTCCAGATGAGGAAACTAAGGCTCAGCCACCCAAATTGTAGGTGATTGAGCCAAGCCTCCAACCCAGGCAGTCTGAATCTGTAACATTTGAGATAAATGTATATAATGTTAAAACATTGTTATTTCTATCCTATAAATTAATTTTTATTTATTAGCTGAACGCTATATGAAAGAAAGTGTGCTAGCCAAATAATCATGCTACAGCAATAACTACCACAGTAAATAGGGTATGTGGTCTCTCTCTGGATTCAAAGATATTAGAGTTTTGTACTTAAAAAAGGTAGATGATACCTCACTGATAAATATACATTAGATACATTTCAACTGAACATGAATTTATTTATTACCTATTGTATGAACTGCATTGCATATACTGTATAGATAAAAATATTTGTTGGGCTAAACTAAAAGATTGCTCGAAGTACACACAAAATCAGCCAGTATTTTATCAGAGTTTCTAAATTCATTCTAGTTTTATAAGTGCTCAATAGACACATTTACCCAGCGGTAATGGGCATTATTGAAAGCTTCATTACTACTAGGCCTAAATGCTTTTGTCTTTGCAAATACTCTTAAGATAGAGTATGATGTTCACAAGTGTGGCCACCAGATGGCACTAGCCTTTTCCTTTTTTGAAGAGAAGACTTTTGCATGCAACATTCAGTGACTATCACTAGAGGTAAGGGGACAGAGTAAGAGGCAATTAAACAACTTTGCTAGACAACAAAGCAAATGAGAAATATTTTTATTGTTACCCTACTTTTTATCACTTTTGTAATTGCTCAAAATGAATTGTACTCAGGTCCTTTAAAAAGCATCAAATCTCACTTGGGATAATATATTCTATGATCCAGACCTCCACAATTCTGTTAACCTCACCTCTTACCACCCCCACCTCCATTCATGCCATTCCATTCCACTGCTTCTTTCACTTTCCTTGATCTTTAGGGTGTTTGCATTTCCTCTCTGTGGAACTTGCATTTCCTTTATGTGGAACTATTTCCAAAGATGTGTACAACTCACTCCCTTCGTTCAAGTCTGCACTCAGCATCTCCCCACACAGGCCTTCCCAGACCACCCTGTGAAAAACAGCACCTTCCTTATTCTCTATCCACTTACCCTCATTATTCTTCGCAGCAAGTGTCATTCCCAGATATACTGTTACATACCCTTCATTGTCTGTTTCCTTTATTACTCTATGAAGTCCTAAAAATGCAAAAACTTTGTCTTTTTAGTACCTAGAAGAATACTTCTCTAATGATAGAACTCAATAAATCAATAATTGAATGAATGAATGAACACCTAGGGAGAATGAGAGAATCATTAAATCCACACAAATCATTTGTCAAGAATGCAGATTTGCATGCTACCAACCTTACTTTCAGTTTTGCGTTTCCTTTTATACCTATTCATTAAGATTACTATATTAAGATCTCTTCAAATTACAAATTTTCTAAGTTAATTTGAGGTAATCACATTAAGTATATGTTTCAGATTCAGATTCAAGTATTGTTGGCCTAAATTCCCATATATAAAACTATGTTTTAAATATTTCTTCAAATACTAATGTTTGACCCCTATTACCAAAATCTCAGAATGAAATTTGATATTACTTTCAGCTAACTGAGATAGTAATGGTTTTCAATGTTCAGGTCCAGAGATTCAAATTATTCTTTATATTTTAATGCATGAAACTGGGAGCAATGTATATAAATAGCATTGTACGGGGGCTTATTTTGTGATTGGTTTTGAAGATCGGAAATATAGTCATAGGGGCTCTTTTAATGCCTTTATAAAGCAGAATCTAAAAGGTCAGCCAATGAGAAGAGAGAAGACTCTTTGCCCTTTTGTACTGTAAATTACACGGGTTGGCATTTAAGTGCACAATGTCAAAGGCAAGGCACATGCATTCAACCTGTGTGAAAGAGACAGCTGGCAGTGGGCAGAAAGAGGAAAATCCTGTCCTAATGCCTTCAACACTAAGCTGCCAATTGCACATCCCACCTTTCCAGTTTCTCATATCACAGTATTTGCCCTGTGGACAAAGAAGAAGTAGCCAAAGGAGCACTTTTCTTCCAACAGAGCAACAGCTATATTCCACCTCTGAGACCAATAACCCCTCCTAGCTGCCTTTGTTAAGCAACGACACGAGGGATGATGATCTGAACCATTTCAGCCCTTATAGCACGTTTGTAACAGTGGCTATTTTTGTCCAAGGCTAATTCCACATTTTGCTTATTTGGCTCTCACAAGGAACATTACTCATCCAGGACTAGGTAGGTGTAATGCACAACTGGAAGTGGGATTCAGACACTAATAAGAACATGTTGTAATAATTTCAACCAGAGGCAGCTTGTCATAATGGGTAGAGTAAGTGTGACAGTTATTTCCCTGCTTTAGGAGTAAAAGCCAGCTGGCAAGGAAGGGTGGATGTTTGCACTATTGTCCTCCAGCAACTCATTAGGAAAGACACTAAAAAAATCAGTTTGTGCTCACATCATCAAATATGTCTTCAGCTGTTGTTTCATACATCGTGTGTGTGTGTGTGTGTGTGTGTGTTGTGTGTGTAGTTAAACTAAGCAGCTGACAGAGAAGTTATTTAATCAAGAAGTTGTTAAATCCAATCATAATTTTTTTAAAAAATGTTTAGATTTAGAGAGAGATATTAAGGATCATCTACCAAAGTTTTTAATCTTTCTTTCCCTGCTGCAACATAAGTAATGATGAGGCCATACAACGTACTTCCATCACAAACACTGGCACTCTAAAAGCAGTTGTTGTCAAAGAGAACAAACACCTCCTCACTCACCTCCAGCTCCCACGAAGATAGATGAGGGCTATAGGAGTCTCAGAAGCTCATATACTTTGATAAAGTCTCCTCCTTACAAGATACTCCTCCCCTATACCCAACTCCCAACTCCAACAGAAAGCCGCTGACTCTGTTCCAACCCCTTGGTTTATAAAGGAAGAGCAGAAGCCCGGGATGATGAGAGACTTGCTCAAGGCTATATAGCCAGTGGCAGCATCAGACCTCATGTCCAGGCTCCTGACTCCAAGCAGAATATTCTGTTTCACTGCTCATGGCTACTTCTTTTATGAGCCTTGATAAGTGTTTTCCTTACCTGACAGCACAAAATCACCCAAGGATAACTTTAAAAATATAGAACTCTAGCCTCTATGCCAATTCAATGGAATCACAATCTCTGAAGGGAAGATGGACCCTGGTACTCTACATAATTAAATCTCTAGAGATTCATAATTTTAAAGAATTGATTTGGGTACAATCATCCTTACTAGAAACCTCAGAGAATAAAAGAAAGTGCAAGTAAAAATTATAGCAGTGCAACAGGTGCAAACTGGTGTGTCTGTCTCCTTGGGTGATCCTCACACCCCCACCTACTAGTTGCTGATCACTGGCGCTTTGGCCCTGATTCTAGAATCAGAGAGAGCAGAGTTCAAGTCTTCATTCTTTTCTGTATTGGCAGTGGAATTTTTACTTTCGGAAACAAATGAATATGTGATCTGTTTGTTCTTCCATGAAATGACAGTGGTGATTTTCATCAGTTTATTTTCAGTACCTAACTGAGTGATCGAAATACTGCAAACAGAAGTGAATGTTGACATGAATGGTCAAATCCTATAGGAAGAGGAATTCTGACGTTTTAAGGAGATAATTCGAGCAAAGTGCTTGAAATGTAATAGGTGGACAATAAATATAAGTTCCTTTTTCATGCAGGGCTTTAACCAACAAAATTACAATTATCTCAAATGACCTAACTACTATTTTTTTCCAGTTTTGGATAGAAGTCATTTTTAAAGGTTGATTTTTATAAAAATATAAGAAAACAAATGGTTTTCACGAAGTTTTCAAGTGACTCTCCCCTGACATGCACTAACGGCAAAGGATGGCAGCTCAAAAACAAGCCTGCTTTCAAGTGTTCTTCCCCGTTCTACTGTTTTCCTGGCAGAGATGCAAGGACTTTTTTTTTTTTTTTAAACAGAAAAACTGTCTATTATTCTCTCAAAACAATTAACACAAAAAGTTTTGAATTCAGTGAAGGTCAGAGGATTAATAGGTTTTATCTGCAATGTGTTTGAAAAGCTAATTAAGACTCCACATCCAGTGGAGGAGACTGGGAATACAATATTTAGTTTTTCTCTACATGACCGCAGTGAAGAAAAGTGAACAGGGAAAGACAAAGTGAATGTGAAAACTTCATAGACAGGAGGCAAATCCTTTTTAAAGAAAATAAAACTGAAAATACATCTGTGACAGAAGATGCTTCCTTTATTTATTCAATGAATGTATTTAGCATCTGTTTTATACTGGCATTATGCTAGGTGCTAGATACTCTGTTGAACAGAACAGAATGGTCTCACTTAGCTTTATTTTATTTTTTTTTTGCCTAGAGACCACTTAATTAACAAAGGAACTACATTAAAAATTAATAAAAAAATTTAATCGTTGTTAACAAATGTGAAAAGGGAAATGTTTTTTGGGTTCCACATAATGTTGTTTAACAACACCCACTTAACCAACCAATTTAAACGCTGAGATGAAAACAAACGCATTTTGAAAAGTCATCCTGACAGTAATATATACATTTTCCTCTCATTCTTTTATATTTTTCTTTTACTAACAATATTCTTCTTCTAGTTAAAAAATGAGGAAACAGCAGAGATCTCAAAATTCTCTGTGGAAATTTATCTGCTAATAACCTGTGAACTAAAATAAAATCCTAAGCCCCATCAACTGAACAGACCCCCTCTTGGCCAATGGAACCCCAGAGAAACCTTAAAGCTGAGTTCCCAGCCATGCTGAGATGGGAGGTCAGGCAGGCCTCAGTACACCCACTTCCTCGCACACAGCCATCAGGCTTTCTTCCCTAAGGACTAGCAGAAACCAATCTTGTGATCACTCCTCCCTTTTTGCAGTTGCAATATGACAATTGACCATTATTCCTTCCTGATAAGAGAACACCAACCATGAAGTAGTTGTGACTCTTCTTCAGAGGCTGTGAAGACAGGGTGCGCATGTCCTCTGCTTCCCCTTTTGACATCAGAGAGCCAAAAACTCTACCCTCGGATCACGCTTATGCCGCCATTTTCTGAATCTGGATCTATGAAGGGGCATGAAGCTCAGTGCGCATGTGCATGTTTCTCCTACAAATATTCATGACTCCTCCTATAGCTGTTAAATATGTATATTCAGCCATGCTGCTCAGCATAAATTACTCTTCCCCTTGTCCCTCCCTGGAAGTATGTGCTCTTGGCTTCTGCCCAGGCCTATGACTCCAAGGCCGTCAGAATGGCCACCCTGAAGGCTGTAACCCTCCATAAGAAATAAAGCTCTCCTTTCCAAATTTACGAGCCTCATCATTTCTTCAGTTGATGAATCCATTTAAATAAATACTGACGCATGTTTTCTTTCCACCCCTTTGAGCCTCAGTTGCCATATACCTTGTCAATTACCTGTGTAATGTTTTGCTTGGCTATCTCCTCTTGATACACCATGTTGGATCAGGCCCTAAGGAGTGCCTTATCATTAGCACTGTTCTAATAGATTTGAACTCTGTAATATTTATTAAAGTAGCTTTTTAAATAATATTTATCTTGGTCTCTCATCACTGACAAAGATTGGCAGATTAATATTCTTAAGCATAGATGTGATCATGTCAATCTCCCGCATTTACCCCTTCAGGGGCTTGCCATGGCAAAGTACCCAGATGTGCCCTCAAAGCTAATCAAACAAACTACATTTCCTATCAAGACCTGGCTTTCCAACTTCATTTCCCATTGTTTCTGTGCTGGTCTCTTTCCATACTTTACCTGAACTTTTCTCTATTCTCTTTCCACCTACTCTCTTTTGCCTTTTTCAGGAAAAGTCTACCACAGGAGTGAGCATATTACAATCAGCCTTCCATATCTGTAGGTCCATGGGTGCCGCATCCACAGGTTCAATCAACAGCAGATCGGATCGAAAATATTTGGAAATAAAACAATACAAACTAACAGCATAACAATAAAAAATAATACAAATAAAAAAACAATACAGTATAACAACTATTTACATAGCACTGTATAATATCCAGTATTATAAGTAATCTAGAGATGATTAAAGTATATGGAAAGATGTGCATAGGTAATATGCAAATACTATGTCATTTTTATAAGAAACATGAGCTTCTGCAGATTTGGTATCCCTGGCAGGGGAGGAAGTAAAGGGAGGTTCTGGAATCAATCCCCTTCCCAGATACCAACGGATGACTATACTTGGTTCTGCCCACACACCGACCATGTCACCCAAGTTTGGCCAGTCAGAATATTACATGGGAATTTTAATTTGCATGCTTTTTCTCGGCATTCAGAGTTTTATGACTTTATAAGCCTCAAGCTTACAGAAGCAATCATGCTACACTATGTAGAGAGTTTACCCACAACTGTAACTAAGCAGGGAAGCCAATGAGGGATGGGAAAAGACAGATAGAGAAAGAGTCATGACAATATTAGGTCATTAAATGTGAAATGTCCATTTCAAGTCAAAAGTGTAGTTTATTATATCTCAAAAAAGAAGCAGTATAATTAATCAAAGTGTGTGCCTAAACTTTTGACAATGTTTTGCCATCTTAATAGTTGCTTATTTATGCCAGCAGAGAAGAAGCTTGGGAAGCGAATGGCAATGAAATCACCAAAGGTGTTTTCCACAGCTTGTTGGGAATTGCCCATTTTTCCTTGCAAGAAGTGGTCCAAAGCCTGGAAGAAGCAGTAGTCAGTTGGTGCAAAGTCTGGTGAATATGACAGATGACAGAGAGTTTCCAAGTCCAGCTCCTATAGCTTGAACAGTGTTGTTTTTTGTGACATGTGGTCTTGCAAGAGGATTGGCCTGTCTCTGTTGACCAATCTCAGCTGCTTAATCACAAGCATCCTCATAATTTCATCCAGTTGGTTGCAGTAGACATCACTGTAATCGACTGGCCAGGTTTCATGAAGTTGTAGTGGATAATACCAGCACTGGACCACCAAACACACACCATTAGCTTTTTTTTAAATGAATATTCAGTTTTGGACTATGTTTCAACACTTCATCTTTATCTAACTATTGTGCTGAATGCTTGCGATTGTGAAAAATAATCCATTTTTCATCACAAAAGACAATACGGTGTAGAAATGGTTCACCTTTATGTCATGACAGCAAAGAAAGGCAAGCTTCCAAATGATTTCTCTGCTGACGCTTGTTTAATTCATGTGGAACCTTCTATCCAGCTTCTTTACCTTGCCATTTGTTTCAAATGGTCCAATATTGTTGTAATAGTAATGTCAAACCTTGCTGCTAATTTACGCATAGGTTGAGATGGATTCACTTCCACTACAGCTTTCAGCTTATCATTATTCACCTTGGTCTCAGGTCACCCATGTGGCTCATTTTCAAGATTAAAATCAGCAGAATGGAACTTCTCCAACCATTCGCTTACTGTGTGTTCATTAGCCACATCCTTCCCAAACACTTTATTGATACTTCGAGCTGTCCGTGCTGTATTAGTTCCATGACAGAACTCATATTTGAAAATAACATGATTTTTTACTTATTCATGGTTTCACAAATATTGCTCTAAAAAAACTGAAAGATAATCACCAGCCAAAAAGTGTGTTTGAAAGACTGAGGATGTACCTCCACAATAAAAATAAAATAAGTGTCAAACTGAATTTTCAGAGATATTAACTGTCAAACTTACTACTTAATGAAATCAGACATTTCATACTTAATAACATAAATATTCTTTATAAGTCTGAATCCAACATTCCTCCTGTTGGACTCCCAAGGAAAGTAATCCAATAGATTTTTAAAACTAATTTGTACTGAATTGATTATGATGAATCAAAGACCTAAGAGGTTGTTCACAAAATAGTGGGCATTCCAAATTTTTTTTTTTTTTTGGAGACAGAGTCTCGCTCTGTTGCCAGGGCTAGAGTGCCGTGGCGTCAGCCTAGCTCACAGTAACCTCCAACTCCTGGGTTTAAGCGATCCTTCTGCCTCAGCCTCCCGAGTAGCTGGGACTATAGACATGCGCCACCATGCCCGGCTAATTTTTCTATATATTTTTAGTTGTCCAGCTAATTTCTTTCTATTTTTAGTAGAGACAGGCTCTTGCTCTTGCTCAGGCTGGTCTTGAACTCCTGACCTCGAGCTATCCTCTCACCTCAGTCTCCCAGAGTGCTAGGATTACAGGAGTGAGCCACCGCACCCAGCTCCAAATATTTTTTAAATAATTGGATGAAATCATCATTGCTTACAATTTATGCAAGCAATAATTTAGGACAAAATAGTTGAATAAAATTGTGCAAGTTTATGTAACAAGAGTTAGGCCTAATGTAGAAAGCATTTGATGTCTTTAGTATTTACTACCTAAGGTTAAGTTCTACATTCCTCTATTCCTCTATTTATCCTCTGTTTATCTTAATAATGACAATTATCATAGGTTTTAAACCTCATGGATCTACAATAGCTATAAACAATAATGGAGAGGCTTGAGGTTTTCAAGGGGTTATTAGAAAAAAATAGTAAAAATATGTAACAGGAATAAATTATGGATTACCACTTAACACAAACAATAGTGGGTTCTTTTCTAACTATAATTACTAGTAAAGCTAATAGATGTAACAGCATTATGGGATCTTATGTCTGGTTTGCCTTGGACTGTCTCACTGTTTTTATTAATAGTTTGGACAGATAAACATCCAGCTATAATATACCATCTGTACACATTAAAAATAAAAAAAAGCAAGGTTAGGCTCAGAATAAAATTAAAAGAATCACTTGGATTTTGTTTCCTATTTTATTTGTTAATTAAAACAAATGAGAGTTGTCCTTGATTTTAGTCATAAAAAAATTTAATTACATTAACATGTATTTCTGGACATCAAGTGATGAATTGACAAATACATTTTTCGTTCTAAGCTTGATTAAATAAATATATATCTGTTCACTCTCTAAAGCAGGCTACCAAATATTAAGCATCTGTGAACACGTATCAGAGAAAAATTATTTCTCTTCCATAAGAAGTTGCACAGCAAGGTGAGGTCAATCAAACTCAAAATCCTTGATATAATTTGTTATCTCTCATTATTTAATAGTCTTAAAATTACTATAACTATTCTAAACCTGTATGGAGGTTTACGTGAGTTATGAATATTTATGTTGAAAATTACAAAATACTAACATAAACTAAGTTAGACAAAGTGAGGAATAAATTAAATCCTGTAACATAAGGAAGAGGGTCAGGGGATGTTAATTTTCAGGGACATCTGGATCATAGACTTGACATATCTTTAAACTTCTACCTTAGTTTTTTCTTTTCTTTTCTTCTATGTGTCAACATTATTTTCAAGGTTGGCTGTCACAACAAGGGTATAAATATGACCAATAGCATTTCTTGGACTCACCCAATTTCACTACCTAAGAAAAGAGACCATCTTCCTGTTGTCTTTTTCAAAAAGTCCACGGACAGCGCTCTGGTCCAACTTGAACCACAGGCCGCCACTCATGGGCGTAGTGACAGGTGGAGCAATGACGATAACTTGGAGCCCCACTTGAGCCTACATGGTTGGAGTTTAGGGGAAGAGCCATTCACCAAATGAGCAGGACAAGATGAAAGAGACATACCAAAGGGAAAAATTCAAATTGCCCGTTGCCAGGTTTTGTTGATTCTATCTTCTGTTAGGCAAGAATATTTATCATTGAATATGATTAATTAAAAACTGCATTCAATGGTGCATATGGAAACTCTATGCCTCCTATCACTAATGCACCAGACTGAATGAAAACTATTTTCCAACCTGCAGTTTTTAACTCCTTCCTACATAATTTCACTTTCCCATTTCTAATTGGTTACTCTGTCCTACTTCTTTCATACTGACATTCACACATCCATGCTTTCTCACCAAGGATAAATTCTTTCAATAGATGCCATTTTATAAAAAAGTTGAAGCTGTGGTTTTTTTCATATGCATTATATATTTTTACAGGCTCTCTACAAACAAGAAAAAAAATAACTCATACATCAATTAGCATTCTTTCTGTGGTTTTTCAAAAAATCACTTGCTATTAAAGACCTCACACATTAATTATTCCTGTCATTTTGATAAAATTTGAGCAAAGCTAAAATTCAGTTGAAATGGCAAATTAAAATTTGCATATTTGTGAAATCTAAGTCCTGAGACTGTGGGTTCTATTGGAAATGGAAGAAATTTGTTCAAACAACAAATGATTAGAAATGGCAAGGATGTGTGATTAGGACCTCAGTTAATGGCCTGGCTACATGAGAAATGCTGCCCTGGTGTTATCTTTAGCCATCAGCTTTTTGCACCATCGTGGAGTCTTTAGATTTTACTCTGTGTGAGATGGGAAACCTTCACAAACGTGGAAAGAGATGAAGGTGGGGCCTCCACCAGCCTGGGTGCCTGAGCAGCTATGATGAGCACAGCAACTTCCCCAACGTGTAGCATGAACAAGAAATAAATTCTATCATTTTTTAAAGCTGCTGGAATTTTCAGGTTTTTTGTTATTGTCATTACAGTATGACCTTGCCTTTCAAGGCAAGAGAGGATGGTTCTGGGCTGGGGTGGTTCTTAAAGGTAGGGAGAAGGAGTGAGCTACTAAGCATATTTCAAAGGTGAAGGTGACAGGATTTCATAATGAATTAAGAAGGAGAAATAAAGAGTGAAGGGTGACTAGGGAGATTTAGATATAAGCAAAAAAATAAATAAATAAAGCAATAATTTGCTGATAAGAGGTAAAGAGCTGAGTATAGAGGACACATTCAGGAGGGTGTTGTATAAAGATTTGACCATATTAACCATATTAGCTTTTTTTTAACCATATTAACTTTGGGATGTCTAATAGACATTAATACTTAAATGGAGGTAGTGAATAGGCAATTGGATATATGAATGTGGAGGTCAGGGAGATGGCAGAGCTGGAGATACACATTTGGGAGTCCTTATTATAAAAATGGTTTTAAAATAATGGGACTTTATGAGGTTACCAAGGAAGTGAGTATAGAGAAAGAGGAAAGACATAGAATTGAGCCTTAGGGTGCTTTCAGTTTAAGAGCCCAGAAGGAAAAGGAGGAAATCAGCAAAAGAAAACAAGAAATATTGACAAGAGATATTAAAAGGAAAGAGGATTGTCTAAGAGGCTGAGTGAAGAGAGATTGACTGTCAAATGCTCCTGAGAACTGAGAGTTCACATCTGGATTTGTTAATGTGGAGAATTGACAAGAATTGCAATGAGGGTTAAAGCCCGAATGAAGTGGGTACACGGGAGACTGGAAGGAGGGTGTAGACAACTCTTATGAGGTGTTTAGCTCATCATAAGGGAATCTGAGAAATGGGGCAGTAATCTGAGAGGGCTGTGCTGTCAACACCAGGATATAGATGATAGAGCACATTTTATGCTGCTGGGAATGACCAAGAGAAGTCACAATGAATTTGCAGAGGAGACAATTGCTAGAGTGATGCTCCTCAGTTAGCAGGTAAGGGTGGCATATTGTGCACCAGTGGAAGGATTTTTTTCTATAAATATGAACATATTCACTATTGTGTTGTATTCAGCCAAGATGGTAGAGAACGGAAGGATTTAGATGAAGTATGTTAGTGGACTTGATAGAGCTCATGGGAGATATCTTCTAAGTTTTATTTTCTTAGGGAAATAGGAAATAAAGTAGTTGGCTGATAGAGAAAAAGGATAAAATGGTGAATAAGGATTTTAATAAAGTGAACAATTTGAAGACAACAGTCTCAGAAAAGGGAGAGTGAACTAACTAGTAGGATTCAATTCCTAAAAGGTAATGGAATCACCAAGAATCACCCTTTCAAAAGACTAACTTAGTATTAATATTTACTTCACAAATATCCACTGAGCCCCTGGTGCATGGGTGGCATAGTGGGACAATAATAAGTAGTACAAATTCCTGGAAACTTTGGTATATATACAAATTTTTGCGGGGGAGAGGCCCCAAGTGTTTCACCACATTCTATTGATGGACTGGTTTCACATTGTCAATATTTTGTTTTGTTTTTTTTCTTTGTTCTTTGATTTGTGTAATTTGAATACGTACCCACCTCTACATTGGCATAGTGTCTTTCCGGACAACTATTTTTATGTACCTTTTCTTCTCATGATTTTAACATTAGCTTCTTCATCTGTTCATATTTTTGACCTTATATCCTATGACTAACATAGTTAAAAAGATATGGGCAGTGACTAACACAATTGCTACATTTTACTGACACAAATTATTTTGAGAAAAAAACAGATACTGCTTATAATTGCAGAAGTATTATATGTGCTCCTCCTCTGACTCCCTCAGTTACTTATAACAGACAAACTTCCTAAAATATAATCACACTTCTTACTTTCTGGTCTAGAAATTTTTGTTATCTGAAGTTTTTTTCCTTTTTTTGCATCATAAGTAATTATTAAGCTTTCCCTCCTACCTTAAGCTTATTGTCATTTGAGTTTTCCTACTGAGATATTTCAAGGTATTTCTTTGCCCTGAGGACAATTAATCATTATTCCATACAAGTAATACATTTTTTCCATGGTGTCCTTGGTTTATGCAGACATCAATAAAACATGCTCTGGTTAGATTCACAATAATGTTTTATGCTAGAGTAGACAGTCAGGAGAGATAGTATAAATTCAGGTTATACAGTGAACATTACTATGACCTCACTTCCTGGAATCAACCCTGGAGCATATTTTTTTAAACTAACCTTCCTAAAAGAGTTGATCAAGTGACAAAATTTAAGATAATGACAACAATAATAATTTAAAACTTCGTATTAATGGTTAAGTAAGACAGACATCAGTTTCATTAAGCCAGATGTTTAATTTTGGGAAAATAGAACCTTATAAGTCATCTTAAATGTAATGCAATCCAATTTGTTACAGGATTACCTCCAAAAATTTGGGAGAGATTCCCACTCTTCCACTGCTTGAACACTTCAAATGGTAGACTTCACTGATTTAAAAGATTCCCTATGTAATCTTGACCATCCCACATTGTCTACTTCTAACTTCTACCATGGAGCCTTCATTCTTAGGGATAATAAAAAGTAAGTCTACACCTAAATAGAAGAGTAGATCAAAGTTAGGAACATGACTTTGATGTTCTTCCTCTTCCTCATTTCCATATTAAACATCCGCATTTCTGAAGTACTTTTTTCTGAATAAAATCTGGTTTGTTTCAAAATATCTTTACTAAAATTAAAGAATGTTATCCAAATGTGATTCTAATACTACAAAGTATAGTGGAAAGATTTCACTCTTTAGATATAATATTTTAATTAATTAAAGCTTTTGTTGTCACTTGCTTTTGTTGATCATACTACATTATCCTATGTTGAGCTGTTCTTCTAAAATATTTAAGTATTCTCTCCATAGATGGCAGCTAAAAAAGTTTTCCCACATTTTATTCTGTAAATAAATATAAATAAAACCACCCATATTTTCACTACCTAGAAATAACTTCTTAAAGTGAATTCTTATATTTGTTTTACAATGTGGTAGTTACTCCGTTTTATTGTGATTTTATTACCCCAATTTAGGAAATCACCCCTCAACCCAATTTCAGTCAAAATTACTTGGAAAAAGTTTATGTAATTATTTTGTGGATGGATAGTACCCATGGCCTAACCTAAGACAATCATATTATTCCTTCACCCTCACCACAAAGGTTGGTTCAGGAATGGGCTTTTAAGAGTTAATATGATTCAATTCAGGTTTTTTCTTTGAGCTCTCAGGAGGCCAGTCTATTTTTTTCCCCACAGGACATGAACAAGAGAGGATATAGGGTAGCACCTACAACAAATTTGCAACTATGTTGGCTATTACTAAGGAAGCAGAGTCTAAAATTGGAGAAAGATAAACTTCATCCTGATGGTCTCCGGTAACTCCTGCATCAAGCTGAACTCAAAGCCAGTTTACTCCAGAACTTTAGCTGGATACACTAACACATTCCTTATTTTAGATGGTCTGCCACTTGCAAGAGCAAGTATCTTCAGGGATAAACCAATGTTAAAATTTTATGTATTCCAATGTCCATCCTGATTAAAAATATTTATATGTGTCTTGGTCAAATGCCTCGTTACATAAGCTGGTTGCATACCTATTCAAAATCTCTAATATTCACCAACCTATCAGAAGAGAAATAAATTCTATATTTTTGCCTTGATCTTAGTGTAAGACCTAGAATCTGCCCTATAGTGGTAGCGCTCACAGTGTAGTTATTCACTTGCCTCTTTTCTAAGGTCCTTGGGAACAAGTACCATGTCTTTTACACTAATATATCTCCAATATTATGCAGACATCCCTGCACATATTATGGATTTATTAAATGTTTGGCTGAATGAAGGAAAGCATAATTTTTCTACAAAAATAATGAAAATGAGACACCTCCCTCTCACCACTCACAAAAATTAATTCAAGATGAATAGAAGACTTAAATCTAAAGCATGAAACCATAAGAATTCTAAAGGAAATGTAGGAAAAACTCTTCTAGACATCGACCTAGGCAAAGAATTTATGACTAAAACCCCAATGACAATCATGGCAACAACGAATATTCATAAATGAGATTTAATTAAACTAAAAAGCTTCTGCACAGCTAAGGAAATAACCAACAGAGTAAATAGACAACATACAGAATGGGAGAAAATATTTATAAGCTACATATCCGATAAAGAGCTAATATCCAGAATTTACAAAAAACTCAAGCAAATCAGCAAGAAAAAAACAAACAACCCTATTAAAAAGTGGGTGAAAGACATGAACAGAAGCTTCTCAAAAGAAGAAAGACAAATGGACAAAAAACATATGAAAAAATGCTCAACACCATTAATCATCAGAGAAATGCAAATTAAAGCCACAATGAGATATCACCTTACCCAAGTTAGAGTGGCTTTTATTAAAAAGTCCAAAAACAATAGACGCTGGTGTGGATGCAGAGAGAAAGGAACGCTTATAC